CTGGACTGACAAAATTCCCTGTTGACTAGATTACTTCATTGTAATAGAACATAAAAATGACTGATTTTGCAGAGTGTGACTTGATAAACATGTAATTTTTGCCATCTTTGGCCTTGTTTATTTTCCCCAGAGCAGTATTTTGGTGTTTCCCTTAAATTTTAACCTAATTTTTGGGACCCCAGGAGTAAAGGAAGGGAGCAGTAGGATAAAACTTTTCCTCCCATTATCAAAAAGTGGTCTTTTTAGTAAGCCTTTCGCTCACGGATAAAAAGGCTTAATCAGGCAGAGTAATGGTTCTTTTTCTTTTTTTGTTTTTGTTGTTAATCCTCACCCAAGGACATTTTTTTCCACCAATTTGTCAGAGAGAGTGCAAGGGAGGGGGAGAGACACACCCAATGGAGCCGGAGTCGAGCCTGCAACCGATGTAGGTGCCCTTGACCGGGAATCAAACCCAAGATCCTCCAGTCCGAGGGCCAATGCTCTAACCACTGAGCCAAATAGGCCAGGGCGTGATGACTCTTAATTAATAGTTCTCAATTTTTTTAATGTTTTTTAAAATATGTTTTATTGATTGATTTCAGCAAGAGGAAGGGAGAGGGAAAGGGAGAAAAACTTCAATGATGAGAGCCTGTTGTGATCTGCTGCCTCCTGCACACCCCCTACTGGGGATTAAGCCTTCAACCTGGGCATGTGCCCTGATGGGGAATCGAACCATGGCCTCCTGGATCCTAGGTTGATGCTGAACCACTGAGCCATGCCGGCCAGGCTGATTTCTCAGTGTTAATCAGATTCTCTTAAGATGCATGTACTCTCAGGATTTTCAGTGTTGGATGTATTTTATTTAGTAGAGTCAAATAACAAGGGGCATAATATTTTATTTTGTTTACCTGGGATCTCAGAGATGGCACTGTTCTGTTTCACTTTTTTTAAAAAATATATTTTATTGATTTCAGAGAGAGAAAGGGAGAGAGAAATAAAAACATCAATGATGAGTAATTGATCGGCTGCCCCCTGCTGGGGATTGAGCCCACAACCCAGGCATGTGCCCTGACCAGGAAACAAAACAAGATCTATTGGATCTTAGGTCAATGCTTAACCGCTAAGCCACGCCTCCTGGGCTGTTTGACTTTTAATTAAAGTTCATAAATGGCTGATTTAAAAAAATTTTAATTTATTATTAATTTAAGAAAGAGACATCGATGTGTTGTTTCACTTATTTATGCATTCACTAGCTGATTCTTGTATGTGCCCTGACTGGGGATCAAATCCACCACCTTTGCGTATCAGGACTATGCTCTAACCAACTGAGCTACCCGGCCAGGGTGGCAGATTAAAATTTTTGAACCATAGCATGAATCAGAAATTGGGCTAGTCGACCTTTTGGGAGGAGATGTTTTTTCTTTTTGAAAGTGGAGGTTGGAAAGCAGAAGAGAGAATTAGAAGGGGGGAAAAAAGTGTATTGGAAGGCACTAGATTGTGGGTGGTAAGACTATGCCGGAAAGTGATGGCTCCCCCAAGTAAAAATTCGTTTACCAGCGCTATAACTTCTTCCTTCCACTTTTCCCACCAAAAAAACATGAAGAGGAGTCTTTCTCTTCCTCCTTTCCCTCACCTTCAGTGGTCTTAAGCAGAGACAAGCAGCACAAATACAACTGAGGTGTTCTTAACTGCACAGACCTACTCTGAGGTAGATACAGTTCTTTATCACATGCCACCCAGGAAAAGAGAGTGTTACATCACAATTCGAATAAAACCTCTTTCATTCTGCTGAAGGGGGGGAGGTACAAATGAAAGTACTTTTGAGTTTTCCCAGGAGGGAGGAGGGTTTTGTCCCTTAATTAGAGGTAGTCTGGGAAATGCTAGCGCTAGTGTGAATGTCCCAGGAGAGTTTGAACACCTTAGTTCTGTGCTCACTGTGATAACGGTAGTCCCCTGCTTAGGGAGCAGCTGGCAGTAGGAAAGCTGGCTGAGAGCTCACACAGAGGCTTTGCCAAGGAGATCTTTTTTCTTTCTCTGTGATGTCTGCAGCTCATGGCCTTGATTCTCTTCAGAAGTCAGGACTTGAATTTTGAGGCTCTTTCAGAAGTTAGTGCTAGTGTTGATTTCTGGGCCTAATTTGTGCTTCTGGAAATATCAGCTGTAAAATTATATTGGAATTTATGTTTAAGAAAAGCCAGATGGCTATCCAAATAATGTGGGTGGTTTGAAGTTTTAAAAGGCCTGTGCTCAGCTGCTAGGCCTCTGGAGGAGTGCTTTATACTGTGTATCCCTGCTTTTTGGAATGGGTTGTGAAAGGAAATTGCTTCCTTCCTTTTTCATCACAGCCCTCATCACCTTGCCACACTCCCTGCCTTCCCAGCCCTAGCAGAATCTGATTCTTAACTTTGGTGAAACTGGGCAAGGGATTTGAAGACTTCCTTATTATAAGGGTAGATGCCTAAACTATTAAAGAAAGGAACTATGCTATTAGCAGCCCAGATGATGCCAGTGAAAGCTCAAGAGTATTCTAGACTTGCTGGGTGGTTCTTGTTGGTGACATAATCATTGGGGGCTCCAAGCTCTGGTATCTTTCTTACTCCTTCACTTCCTCCCGCCCAAGCTAAAAATTGACTTTCTGAAATCTACAGTATTTACCTCTTATTTTTGTTCCTCTGTTCACTGTCATTAAACATTTTTAATGCCTTTTTGCCACTGTTTGTCTGGTTTAAGTCTTTTCTGTTCTGTTAAAGTCCGGAGTTGTGGCTTGTGGGGCAGTATGTTATGGTTAATTCTTAGGATCCACACACCCTACTTCATCTCTTCTTGGTAGCAGACATCAAAATTTAATAGGTATATGAGAGGTTACCGTGCTCATTTGTAGATTGGTTCCTTTCAAAAAAAATACAGGGAGAGAGTGTTATCTGCAAGACAGCTGAGTGAATGCATTTTTTGTACTTTCATCATCACAGCATCTCAGTTATCCAGATGAAGTACAAGGCTTAGAGGTGAGAGTGTGTTTAGCTCCTTTGAGGAGATAGAAGGAGAACACTGTGACTAGAAGTAGAGTCAGCAGGAGAGGCAGGGGGCTTAGAAGATGAGGTTAGAGGTGGTAGTGACAGTATGGAAGGCCTTGTGGGCCGTGTTAGGATTTTGTATTCTAAGTGAGGTGGAAAGTCATTGGAGATTTTTGAGCTGATAAGACTTCCAGTAAAAAAATTAATTACTCTAGCTGCTGTGTGAAGAATAGATTGGGTTATAGGGGCAAAGGGTGGCGGGACAGGGAGACCATTTAGAAGACTATTGTAGTCCAGGCTAGAGATGAGAGGACAAATGAAATTACTACCTATCTCCAAGAAAGGTTGGGAGACCTAATGAAGAAAATATAACTAGAGCCCCTCATACAGCCCATTTCACAATATTAGGCTCCAGTTATTTGTTAATTCTTTTCGTTTCTTTGGAGTTTGCCCTCAGCTATATTAGGACCATAGGGGAGAGGTTATTAAATAAAGATCAGCATTCACAAGGGATGGGGTTCTGAGCAGTACCTCAGTCATTTGACCCCAACGGAAGACTTTATTCTTGAGGTACTGCAATTGGCACACTGTTCATTCTGTTATCCTACCCACCAGAGACCTAAAAAGACTGAATCTGTGCCAGAACTCTTGAGCTGCTTTCTTTTCATTGAGGCATTCAATCTTCAGTTCTTTCTGTGGTTGCTATCTTAACCACAGTTTGGGCAGCCTCTTTTACAAAGTATCTTTTCAGCTACCTGGACTTGCAAGCTGGAGCTCTCTGATACTCATCATGACAAGGTAGTTTCACATACCTGAGAGGACCACTAAGAGAAAGAAAGAGGTTTTGTGATCTTTGTTTAACATTTGAGCTTGTCCTCTACTCCTTCGTTATGATGTAAAGACTTAATATGCCACTTTGATTTCTGGGTTTTGCAGTATGAGAAAGGAATTTCATGTGTTTTAGTGCATTATAGTTCTTTGGGAAGAGCTTGGGCCTTGGTATACAGGGAACTTGCTTGGCATTGTTGACAAGGTTTCTTTCCCTACAAAAGTCCACCTCAGTGTCGCTTGCTTAAGCTGTGTATCTTTTTGGTAGACAGCACTGATGAAACCGTGCCATCTCGACATAATGTCAGGATTGCTTGCCCCAAGAGGACTTCTCGTAACCTACTACTTCCTTGATTTCCTCTGGGTGCAATACAATTTTGGGGTGGGGGTGGGGTCTAGAAGGTCTAATTGTGTCACAGGCAATAGGAAAGGTGAATCCCCAGAAACTTACAAACAGAATTTGCTTTAACAGCAGTTAATTGTGTCTCCTAGGATGTTTTGCTTTTTCTTCCTCTTAAGAGTTCAGGTTACTGCAGTGTCACAAGTGAAAATGTGGGTGCCTTTGCAACTTGTATACTGTGCTGCTTCTGCAAATGCCTAACTGCCCCAGTCCCCAACCAGCCCTGGAAATAGACTAAGCCAGGCCCTATGAGGGCCAGCTCTCTTCAGGAACACTGTTCTATTTTCAGGGAGAAATCATTTTTCCCTTCACCTCAGTTAGAATGTGTCCTAGCCTTTCTGCTCCTTTCTTAGCTGGGGCACAGATGAGAGCCAGCGTGCCATTCATCTGGCAGCCCCACGGGCCTTTCCAAAAGCCCATGATAGGGAGAGGCAACCCACAGGAAATGGAAATGCTAAATGAGTGCATCTAGAGCTTGTGAGCATAAAAGACCTTACAGATGCACCTGTATTTTTCATTTAATTGGGTAGGTATTTTCTAGTTTTTATTTTCCCCACCCACTCATCTGTGCTGTCTGAAATATCATTTTATCCTTAGTAATAGTTTGGAGCAAATTGTTGCTACAGATAAAAACATCGATATATTTTTAACCAACATGCTTCTAATTAAATTGCTTATCTATCTAAACTTGGGCCTTTGCTGCTCATATCAGATGTCCCTGGTATCTTCCTTGAGTGAGTTGCCTTGTGTTCCATGACCTTGTTTTTTGTTTATTACAGTGTGAGTGGCTGCCTCATGTTGTGTTGATGCCGGTCTGCCATGCTAGCCTGTCTACCAGGGCCAGGTGACCTGTCCTTTCAGCTTCTTTCTCACACGCAGATGAACACTGGACTTCAGAAATGTAAGTAATCTGGATCCCAGGGAAGGATGTGATCCTTTTTTTGACCCTACATTTGAGCTGTTTCAGAGGGGTACATTGACTGTGGACTTTGATATCTTCATGATATTCTTCAGTACAGACAGAAGAAAGCAGTTGCAAAAACTTGTCAGCAATGTGAGACACTTCTTATCAGAGAGATCCTTTAAAATACTAGAATTTCCCACTGTATAGCAATTTAATTTTAATGGTTGCTGATACCTCTTTTGAGCAACAAAGCTATAAGGAGTTTTCAGGAGATATATATATACATCACCCTTCAAAAAAGTTTCTCAATTTGAACCCTCATGAGGAATTAAATGAAAATACACAGTTCAGGTTACTTACTATATCTCTGAAACAAACTATTTACACTGTTTTGTTGTTTTGAACTCTCTGAACACTCTCTACCATGGAAATAGACAATTCCCTTTGGCTTTGCTGTCTGCCTTCTGAGCCAGTGACCTCAGTTCCCAGCAAATAAAGAAGCTTTCACCGTCAGAGGGATGAGGAGCTAGCTTTCTTAGTCTTTCTGGGTGTATTCCCGCTAACATAGTTCCCACAAGATCGAGCTTTTGAGAACTGTCTCTTAGATTCCTATCTTAAACTGGCTGGAATTGGGGCTCTATACTTCATGCTTTCCCAGATTCCTACCTCTGTCCTTGTACTGCATGAATGTGCAAGGAAAAGATTCTATTCCTGGCTCATTACCATGTACAGTATCTTCAAGTGTCAAAATGGCCCTAAATTTGGAATAGACTTTCCTTTCAGAGCAAAAAGGAGAAATCAGTGAAGCATCTAGGCTTACCCTTTAATAGAAAAGGTGCTTCAGCATCTTACCTGATTCCTTTATGACAGGGTTTGGCAAACTTTTTCTGTAGAGGGCAAATGTTTTAGGCTTTGTGGGCCATAGTCTCTGTTGTATCTACTCAGCTCTGCTGTTGTAGGGCAAAGGCAGCCGGAGTCAATATGTAAACAGTGTGTGTGACTGTGTTCCAATAAAACTTTTAATAAAAACAGCAGCTGAGTTTTGGCCCACAGATTGTAGTTTACCAACCCTTGCTCTATGAGATCATCTTCAGAAATTAAAAATGATCTAGCCTCTGACTTCCTTTCTTTGAGGGAGAGTAAGACTCAGAATCTGGCTAGTTCTAGGATTTGGCCGATGAATCCACATGGATAATGTCAAAGCTGAAGGTGACAGTCTTTCTTCTGCAGCTTCCTGACACAACAGGCAAGCTCTGCTGTGCCAGCTTTCCCCCCAGCCTTTCTCTTTAATAAGTCATGACTGGATAATAAAGTTGTATGTGCTCCCTGGCTACCCAAATATCCTTGCTAACTGCATTGCGACTGGCTTTGGGCTTCCAGGGGACACAACTGGAAAGGGAGTATACTTGAAAGTATACAATAAGATGACAAACAGCAATGCACTGCCTTCTAGATTCCTTAACTTACTCTGACAGCTTCACCCAGAGAGGTGAAGTCAAGGGATGAGCCATTTGGGAGGAAAGGCAAATTGGCAGCTTTATCTTGGGTGCTGACATTGGGATCTCCACTTTCTTTTTCCCCAAAGTAGCTTCGAAGTAGCCTCTGCCAACCACTGTCCCCAATCTATATTTGAGAATTGAGATATCCTTCTTTCCTGGTTTCAGACTCACCTGTCTATTTGGGGGACAGTGTATTTTAATCCTTTGACTCTCTTGTTGCTATCTTTAACTAAATTCACACCTTTGCAGAGAAAAAATCCTAATGGTATTTTTAAGCCTGCTTCCTTTCTTTTCTCCTTCTAAAATGTACCAAAAAAAAAAAAATCTTATCATGTCGCATAGCTGTTAGTGTTAAACATTTACAGTTAAGGTGAGAGAGCATAAGTTGTCTCCTTTGGGAACCAGCAGCTAAAGAGCTGCTTAGAACCCAAGCTTACCAGTTATAGAGACCTTAAAACTAGTTTTGTGACTTGTAATTCAGCCTTTCCCTGCCCCCCACACCCATCCTTAGAAGGGTCTTTTAAGTCCCTAGAAACACAGAGCTTGGTATCTGGTGGGGTGGGGATGGGATACAGATATTTATAACTTACTGTACTTTATATTGTAAGAGTCAGCTCAAGGCAGGAGAATTGGACCAGGAGTCATGAGATGGCATATGTGGCTTCTTGACCTAGCACTGTCTAATCACTTTTCCCCAGGCTAGAGTCCCCAAATGTACAGATTCACATGATTGATTCCTTCTCACTCCACATTTTCTCTTCCCTTCCTTTCTGCATGTGTAGGAGAATGTAATATGTTTCCCATCCTAGATGTGTAATTTGCCATAGGGCAGGCTGGATTCTCCTAATTCCCCAGAAAATGTGTTTTTGAATATTTTTTCTTTATTAACCCCAAGCTCTGCTCCTGTTTCCTCAGTTCATTGTCAGGTATATAGTAGTGGCTCAATAAATATTTCTGGTTGAATGGCTAAAATGACCAAAAGACCTTGGTTTTCAAATTGTCTTTTAGATAACAACTTTGACCTACTTTATTGTAGAGTTTTGGGGCCTGGGACAAATGTCAAAATTCTTTTACTGCTTCTTAGTATGCCTATTTGCCCCCTAGTGGAAGGGCTTGGAAATGGTTAATTGGCCCAATGATTGAATAAACTCGTAGAAATATTAGTTAACATCTGTTGAGTGCTAATCATGTGCCAGGCACTATCTTGGGTATTTTCATTTATATTCTATTTTTTCCATCACCATTTATCTCCTCTATGCCCTCTTTCACCTCCACCATCCCCCTTCCTCCCACAGTCACCACACTATTGAGTATATTTATATGTTATTATTCATTCCTCGATAATTTAATATGGGAGACTTTCTTGTCTTTTTTTTAAGGATGAGGCACAGAGTGTTTGCCACTTACCAACATCACATTATAGTTTAGTGACTGGGCTAGAACTCATACTCAGGTCAGATTCCAAAGCTTGAATTAGAAACACACTGCATGTGCCTCTCCACCTATAGATGGAGGTTCCTGCTGTGTATGCCACCAGGTCATCTGACCTTCAAAATAGAAAGATACACAGGGAGGTCTCTGGGGAAGCCTGGATTCAGGCAGATTTTCCCCCCAGTCCCTAGAATAGACCACAGTGCTTTCTGCGACGTTTAACTCTCAGGCTCAAGTCCAGGGTGTCCTGCAATTGAGGCTTCCTTTGTCAGGTTACTTTGTCCTGTCTTTGGACAGACTCAGCTAAAACTGTTATCCTTGAATAGTAAATATCGGCAATCATTGTTCCTGTCCACAGAGTGTTTTCCCATTCGTTGGATCTCTTAAGTCAGTACTTGAATCTGGATCTCTCTTCTTTCCTAACCACACATTACCTATTCTGTATACTGCCTTATGTCTTGGTTAATGACTCAGGCGGTAATTCAGTATTTAAATAAATTGCTTATTAAGATGTGGTATCTGTATTAGCTGTGCATTTAATATGTTATAGAAGAAGGAAAGGCTCCAGGGTGCCGGTGTGTGAGGACTGAGATAAAAAGCCCTTGCCAGTTTGACTCAGTGGTTAGAGTGTCAGCCTGCAGACTGAAGGGTCCCAGGTTCGATTCCGGCCAAGGGTACATACCTCAGTTGTGGACTTGTTCCCTGGCCCTGGTCCAAGCATGTGTGGGAGGCAACCAATCTATGTGTCTCTCTCACATTAATGTTTCTCTCCCTCCATCCCT